GAAGAAACATAACATAGTTTTGTCTATCAAGTCACCAGGAGTCAAGGTCAACTTAAGGAAGACAAATGATGATGATGATGAAAGAGGAGGAATACAACTGATGAAATGCATTTTAAACAATAATTAACTTTAATTGTTTCTTTTGTCCATGAAAGCAAGAAACATATTTAGATTTTAGAGGACATGAGGCAAAGAAATGCCATTTTTAAGAAATGTTTGCAATCTGTAACATGTATTAACTTTCTTTGTACTTTGTAATTCCCTTTGAACTTTCTAATTCCTTCTCAATTAAGCTCAATCAAAGTGTCCAGCATGTCACTTTTTCTCAAATTGATATGTTACTGGGAAGCATTTCCACCCCACAGTGAGGACCCCACAGGGAACTTTTCTTCCTACCTGGGAGATTTGTGGGATCCAACAGCTCTCAGCTGCCCTTCCTGAAAGTTCAAAATTATTTGCTTAAAGTGTCTTTATAGTACCAATCTGGGCACGAGCAATCCAAACCAATTTGCCCTGTGTTAAAAGAAACTTAGAAAAGAAACACTTAGAAGCTAAGTGTTTAACAGATTGATGTTGCAGACTTAATTTGCAGAAAGACTGCTTTGTATATTTAGTCAGCACGCCAGTCCAGTATTGCTTTTACTATAGTTTTCACTTTCCAACACTTTCTTAACCCGACTTTGAACATTTATTTATTTGTTAAATTTATTTTCCACCTATTTCACTGTGGGACTACTCTAGAGATGACTTTCAACAATAAGCATGGAGAAATGAAAAGAAGTGTAAATGTAACAGTAGTAAAGTAATGGAACAATAGCAATAAAAGGCAATAAAGTAATGTAAACAAGTGCTGGGCTTCTAAACCTTTGCTTTTGAGAAGTAAACTTAGCAATGTTCTTGTTACCCAGAGAAAAAAGGATTGGATTTGCAAATGTCACCACTAACAAAAATACATTTTAGATAATGATTCCTACTTGTAGTTAGAGCATGACTGCATTTTTTAGGTGTGATTTATACGAACAAATACTTGGGGAAGGGTTAAAAAGGGAAACAGGAAAGGCAGCAGCTAGAAAGGGAGAGGTTATTTCCCTCAGCATCCCTGTGCTGTGGTCCTCCAGGCTGTTACTTACCTCAGGAGAAAAGTTAGATTTACACAATATACCCATAATTAGCATACTTTTAAAGATGTATTATGGCTCTATTAAGCATACCTGTAGCTTTCTCAAGGTGATTCTCTCTATATTCCCCAACCAAAGTCAGGCAACAGTGAAAGCCTGGAATTTCAGTGCAGTACATTTTAGGATAGGGGTACCCAACCCCCAGTCCAGGGACTGACACCAATCTAGGGTCCACTAGGAAGTGGGCTTGCAAGTGTGCGAAACCAAGCAAGCACGGAATCCAGTAGGACACAAAACCATGCTGCCCTAGTTTGTGGAAAAACCACTTTCACAAAACCAGTTCCTGGTGCCAAAAAGGTTGGGAGGTTTCTGTTTTAGGAGGTTACATTGAGAGAGCCTGCCTGGAGGTTTCCTAAGTGACTGCTACCTACACTAGCTGTTAAAAGAAAAGCTTTATGATTTGCAATAACGTTATACACCTAGCTCTCTGGTGCCTATAGGATACATTTATTACACGTGAATGCAGAAAGTCTGTCTTTCACTGGCAGCCACAAAGATTAGTGGTTTCAGGTTGGATAATTAACTTCAGCTTTTATTTTTCAAATAGTTTCATTTCCTTTTAGTCTTTGCTTAACTGCGTGAAATAAATAGACAATGTATAAAAAACCAAGTAAGGAAAAATGGGCTTAATAAAAACAATATATGGTAAGAAAGATTAAAGATATTCAACATAAACGAACAGAGAATATACACGAGAGGTTTTTTTTTTTTAAAAAAGAAACAGCAATAGTGGATAGAAGCAAATTTGCAAAAAAAAAAAAAAAATGTATAGGGAATGGAAGCCAAGCAATTAGTCATTGCTGACATAAATTTCCCTTTCTTGGGGACGTTTAAACTCCTCATATCCCATGGATGAACTCTACAGCACCTGCAGTCTATTTCTTTTCAGTAAAGAGATGATAACTATTGTAGATGGCTTTCCAACAAAAATACAATGTTGACAGAATAATGTGTGTAAAAAAAAGGGGCTACTTTGTGAGTGCTATAAATTGCAGGGGCTGAATTCCCATTGCAGAATGCCCCACATTACAAGTTGTATGTTTGTCGAAGCTCCCCATATGGCTTGAAGTGAATGTCGCTCCCTCCCAACATGATGAAAACGAACCACAAGGCCTTCGTGTACAGGATCGTATTTTTCATCCTTCCTCCCACAAGGAACGCTAATCCATTAGAAGTACCCTGGACTAGAATGTAGGAATGTGCCAGATACAGTATTTTCCAGTAGGAAAACATTAGCGATTCAAGGGGTGCCCAGGGGATTATAATCTAGCAGGAGGGAATCATTTAGATAGAGGATTTAAGGGCTGGTTCACCAAGGAGCCTGACAGAGTGGTAGATCAAATGGTCTTCCCTATGGAAAGTTTGTATAATCTAAAGTATGAAATCTTGATTTTTCTCATGAAGCACATTGGAGACCTTTAGACCAACTGCTCTTTCTTTACTATTCTTTGGGTGACTAGGAACAAAGTCAGAGGATGAACTTTATATGGCACTATGCAATGTAATAGTTGGGTGTGGGTTAATAAATATATGAGCTCAACCAGCACTGAAGTCTACCCTGCAAATAAGAATGATTACAAGATCCTGGCAGGGGAGGGTTGACATACATGTATACTGTTCCACATGCATTTTTGTATAGATGCCAGATTGGATAAGCTGACACTTTGTTTCATCCTCTAGATTTGTGAACCTCAACATACTCCGTGACTTCAGAAGCTCTCTTGGTATATTATATTATCCCATGGGAAGAGTCAATCTAGAAATACAGTTCTTATGTATCTTATACCCTCTTATGGTAAACCAGATAGCAATCACAATCAGATGAGATAATTCTACTTTATTGTAAAACTGCATTGACAGAATCTTGCAAGTCTGAAAGTACATTTCTCTTTCTGTCTTCTTTACAGCACAAGAAACTAAAGAGGGACTCTTATGAGCCTCTTGCCTCACACACTATCCATTTGTGGGCTGTGCTGTCTCTTATCCCCATCTCCCAAAGACTTTTCCACATAACATCATCCTCCCCTTCAAATTCATCTTCCCCTCTCAATTTCACAGAGGAAACAGATTGTGAGCTAGGGGAACAAAATATATGCCGCTTGTGAAAACTCTCTAGCCCAAATTGTCTTAACTGAGGCAGATCAAATGCACATTTTTTTAGTTTGAAGAAGAGCTTGCTGCCCCATTATTTTTGTAATACATTTCTGACATGTGTGACATTCAAGGAGATATCTTTGGAATAAATTAATATGTCATCTAAGTACATCACCACATACTTTATCTAAAATGTCTGAATGTGTTTGTTCATGAATCTAGGAAAAATAGCTGCACAATTAACCAAGCTGAAAGGCATCGCTGTGTATTTGAACTTGCCATATCCTGTACCAAAGTGTGTTAAATACATATGTCCTTCTTTATTCTAATTTGCTTATAAGAACTTCTGAAGTCTAGTTTTGTAAAACTATTCTGTAGCCAGTGTAGTAGTTCTGAAATAAATGGAAATAGATAATGGTGTATAGTTGTTGTTCTTTATAACTATAAACAGTAGCTCCCTCTTTGCCTTTCTTAATGGCTGCTGATTCTCTCTCTTGTTTTTTGAGGACCCTTGCTGGCTATGTCCTCTATTGATTTATAAGTTCTGCATCTTGTTGTTGTGTCAGTCACTTGCACTTTTACATGCATGATCTGGCTATCTGTCCAGGCACTCAGTACTAAAAGCACAGCCCTTGATCCCTTCTTTGCTTCTCTCCTGATAACAGGGATCTCTTGATTGTTCCAATTTGGGAGGTTCGCCACATGAATTACAAGGTGGCCATTCGGAGGGCTGGTATGGAGGAAGATAGGCTGTAAATTATTTCCCCCTAATGTTCCTTCACTGCCTTAACTCTTCCAGTTGGGTGTCTATTATTACTCACATTATTACAGCTTAGGTCCTCAGTCAGCTCTTTCCTAAAATGATCAATCAGAGTTAAGTCATAATGGCCAGCAAATAATTTAAAGTACAAAATATATGATCTTACTCTCTTCTGTTCATGCTTGAATTTTTGGATCCCCCTTGGCTAGCAGTGATTCTTTATATGGGATCCCCAAAGTGACTGAACTTACAAAGGAAGTCCTGATAATTGTCCATTACTGGATCATTTCCTTCAGTGATTAGGATTGCCCACTTAAGTGCTGCTTCTTTTAGCAAACTCAGCACAAACCCACTCCGATTTGATCAGTAAAAAATTCCATCAGTGTGCCTGCCCTTAAACATTACACACTGAGTTATGAATGTCCAGAATTAATCCTGGTCTCCTCTGAACTTCTCTGGCAAGCTCCAAGGGGAATCTAGGAGCCTCAAATTGTTGTGCTGTCACATGTTAAGGCAAATTCTACTCCAGTTGTTGCACTAGTGTAGTATTAGTGTATCATGACATTCTGCAATTTGGCCATTTGTTGTTGCTAGATGCTCAGCAGACATTGGAGTTCCTTGAGGATCAAAGGTTATACCTAATATTCCTCTTTAGAAGAGAGTAAAAGACTTGAAAGATTGGCCTTGTGAGATAAACCAGGCAGGAATCATAACCAGGTGAACTAATTCTACTTTATTACGAAACAACATCGACAGAATCTTGTAAGTCTGAAAATCTGAAAGTACATTTTCCCACCAGTTCCTTTATAGCCTGAAAATCTAGGGATAGTTCTTCTGAGTCTCTTGGTCCACCCATTATCCCTCTGCAGACTATGCTATCTATTACTTGCCCATTCCCTTGGCAGCGCTCAGTCTCCCAAGATCTTTCTTACATGCCATTAAAGTATTCTGCATTGAAACTGACTCACTCTCAAGTGATGAAGAGGGGATGTTCAGCTGTTTGCCCACAAGGGTGCTCAAGGTAGTCTTGATGTCCTCCTTCCATGGAACATCATGGACATCCATGACATTTTGTGCAGTGCCTGATTTAACAGATTACATCAATCAACACATCTCAGCTCCAAGCTTTTGGAGTCCTCTTGGACAAACTATCAGTAAGTTCCCCTTCTTTTCCTTAATAAGCCATACCATTTTTTTTCCTTCTGTCGACTTGCTACACATGCATGCTGAGAGCAGGGAAGCTACAGTGATAGCAAGAAAGAAATACTGTCTGGCTATGAATACTGGCTGAGGCCCTAGACAGACATGGGTCTTGTGAGATATTCAATGAGGCTGACTTCTGACACTATCCATGTATAACACAGGCCAAAGAGGAGAAGAAAAAAGGGGGCAGGCACATCCACCCATCCACTTACCAAGCAGCAGTAAGTTCTACAGAGTCCTTTGGTCTGTGGTAAAAGGCATCAGCAGTAGGCGTCTTCACTGAGGCTTCAAATTAACATTTGGCAGAATCCTCATTGGCAAGTGTTAACACACTCCTGTTTATACAATCATTTATGCTGATGCATTCAGGGCTAAACTAGAGGCTTGAATGAGAGCCAATACTTCCGAAGCAAAGGCAGTGCTTAACACTCTTTTCTGCTGGCATAAACAATCATGTGAACAATAGCAGAATTATTATCTTGTATATAGACTGTGGCTGGTCTTGTCATTTCCAGAGTGTGAAATGTTTGGGGGATGATTTAGGAGAGTGATTTATAATTTGAGGGAGAGATTGGGGGTGTCTTACTTTTTCCCCTTTCTACTTCTTAAATGTAAAAACTTGCTCAGGTACAGGTTTAAAAATCTACGATCTTGCTTGAGTGACAGAATGAGGAGAACCCTTGAAACCCTTTCTAGAATTTTTCAATAAAATTTAAAATTTAATCTGTATGTCAGTGATATCCTAGATCATGACAAGATACACAATCACCCAGCTTGCATCAACAGAATATATTCCAGAACTTTCTAATAAATCAATTAACTGGTTTATTAGCTCATCAATAGCCAGAATTTCTCCCCTCCTCCCACCATAATAGGATCATGTGTGAATACCTGATGGGATTGCTCCTTAATTCAAGTTTCAGCTCCAGAAATGCTGCTTTCCTGGTTGGATTCTATGAGCCATGTCAGATACTGAGCTTCCAACAAGTTTATTTTCTGCCTGTGTAAACTCAACCCTCCTTACTGTGTAAACTCAGCCCTGGAGAAGCTGAAAAACAAACAAGGCTTTGGTTCAGAGTTAGTGGTAAAGCTTCATTACCAATGGTGCAAAGACAGGTGGGCTGCTTAAACTGGCAGAAGTGGGAGGAGAATCCCTTTTCTAAATGCCCATTCATGGATTTATATTTTTTTTGGGTCAGAAAATTGATGTATTACCACAGGCTTGCACTACAGTCCTGCACTTTTCCCCCCTTTCAAATAATTCTTGCTTAGCACTTGCTGTACAGGTCTATGACCTTTTTTTTCTCCAAACCTTTCTTTTACGAGTTTATTTTGGCTGCTCCTAGGCATTCATAAAATTCCTGGGGAACTGGAGGTCTTAAGCAAGGCTTGTAAAAGCAAAGGGAAAAAGGGGGAGGGGGCGGGAAGAGTGGGTTTTCCATTACCATGTTGTAGCCTCCCTAATGAGAGCCTTACACCTTTCAAATCTTTTCTGAAGCACCAAGCCTCTGAAAAAGAAGGGGACAGCATGTAAATCTTCTGAAATGGCCTCTAATTCTCAGTCGGTGCAGTTAGTGCAGACTATTCTATAGGTGGAGAAGGCGCTCCCTTGTCAGTCATTCTTCTGCAGCTTTTGGTCTTCTCAGCAGGTCAACAGAGTTGGTGAACAGCTCAGAAAGCGCAGGGCATCTGAAACAAATTAGATCTCTTATAGCCACCCAGAGACCGATGATGGATGGAGGTCTGTATTTACAGCAAAACTAATTGGCAACATACACAGACACCCCCCCCCCCTTAGGAAAAAAAGTATATTATTTTGCCAGACTTCAGAGCCACTGGGACAGTTTTATAATTGTAGAACATTACACTGCTTGAGATTTAAAAGAGAAAAGAAAATGAACAGCGAAAGTTTTCAATCTAATAAAAGCATTTGACTGGAAAGTTAGAAATAACAGGGAGCAAAGAGGCTGAACTGGAAATACTGTAAGTTCTGCCCATGCCACCACCTCCAGTTATAAAACAGTTCAAAAATGCTGTCTTCATAAAAGTTCTTCCATCCTTCTCAGTTTAAGGATTTCTGTATTTGTTCTCCCCCCCCCCCAAATAGATTAGACAGAAAAATTGTAAGAGCCACTGTGGGGAACTGAATAGGACCAGCTCTGAGGAGGCCGAGAAAGTTAATTGTTGTCAGCTATGGAACTAACTGGGTAACTTTGAGCCAGTTGGCCCTTTCAACCCAGCCTGCCTCACAAGACTGTTGTAGTGAGAAATAGGAGGGAATTTGTTTCTCTTTATTTATTTTATACTTCACCTTTATTATTTTATTTATAAATCAAAGTGGTGATCATACCTAATACTCCTTCCTCCTTCTAGTTTCCCCACACAACAATCCTATGAGGTGAGATGTAATCCATCTCACCTCGTAGGACTGTTATGTGTAGAAACTAAAAATGAGAATGATTGGCCCAAAGTCTCTCAGCAGGCTTTCATGCCTAAGGCAGGACTAGAACTCACAGTTTTCTGATATCTAGGACCTTAACTACTAGACCAATTTGACTTGGCTTTATTTATTTATTTAATCAATGTATAGGCCACCCATCACATATACATGACTCTGCTAGATGCTAGATATGTGGCTTGGAGTTCCCATGTGAAATATGGGGTGTACATGTTATATATTTTATAATAAAATAAAGTATGGGGAAGGGAAGCAAAGATAGTTGTTGTATGCTATATACATAATTTATATATAGCACTTATATGCCACTGAAGTTATGCCCAGCAAAATAAATAGAATAAACTGTAGAAGCAGAGACTACCAGTGTTTAATAACAGCTTTTTCTGGGCCAGTAATAGATTAGATACAATTAACAAATACAAAGAGAGCCACTCTGACTTGTGCATTGGAAGAACAGGACAGTTATAATGAATCAGCACTCAAACTTGTTGCATTGGAAAGTGAGAATTTGCTTGTGGCACATGTATGCACCATATACTAAACAGAAATAAACCATGGGCAGGTTAGAAAGTGAACTTAGGAAGAAACACACCCTGAGGGAAATTTGCCGAACTGATTTCACTCTGCCATTTCAGCTTAATGTCTTACGAGGAAGAGCAAGAAATATGGAGTGCCTTTAAGTTCCTTCTGCATTCAGTAATAGCCAGGGCTATATTATTACAGCATTCATAGAATAGTGGGTATCATTGCCACCTATTTTTTACATATGTTCTTGAAATAACCTTTCTCCTGTCTCTGTTTTTTTTCTTTTGTTCCCCAAAGTTTAGTAAACCCTTTGAATAATCCCAGCAACACAAATGTTTCTACAGAATTTAGAACGTAAATTCCAAAGTAAAATTCCTGCTTATGTGTTATGGTTAATGCTATTCTTGCTTTTTGTTTAATCTCTAGGTTTTTTTTTCCTGGATCTGGGAAACTGTGTCTTGTATAAACAACTATCAGAAAGCACTGGAGTATGAGAACACTTAGTTCTGCTGAAAACACAATCATTGTGTTATTCCAAGTTGATGAAAACACCCTTTGCAGTTTTGCCTTGCAAGATCCACACGCCAATCAGTGTTTGTCAGTGATATAATTTTCTCCCATAAACATAACCTTTGTACAACTTCCACTCAGAGTAAATAGACATAATTCCCAAACTAAATAATGCACGTTGAAGGGAAATAGAGATTACAGCAGGAGGAGGAGGAGGAGGAGGAGGAGGAGGAGGAGGAGGAGAGAAAAGTTACATGAGAATAGCTTTAATTGCAAGGGAATCAGGCAATGGAAAGGAGAGCTGGTTTATTTCTTCACACTGTAAAGAAACTGGTTAAGGCAAATATTTGGAGGAAATGTTTTTTTGGCTTGTTGATGGTTAGAGACCACCACGAATTGCTGAAAGATGAATTCCGTCTGTCTACTGGACAAAGAAAACATTTGTGTTGGTGCCCTATCTAGAAAGAAGTGGACAACCTGCATTGTTAGGAGAATGTTGTTTCCTTTTCTTTATGCTTTTTGTTCAAAGCCCCCATGTTTTCTTATTTTTTCCTCTTCCAAAAAAGATGTTAGCAACTGCAGGAAAAAATATTACCAAGTACAGGATAATAACTGGCAGGCAGGTAGCAGTGAAGCAAGGACAACTCAATTTGATTCATTACACAAGCTTAGGACTAAATACAGGTAGTTCTCAACTTACAATTGTAATCACAGTCATAAGTCGGGACAGTGGTACAATATAAAAAACCCAATTTTATGACCCTTTTTTTGGCAGTCAATAAGAGAATCACCACAGTCATTAAGTGAATCTGCAATTGTTAAGCAAACGCCTCAGTTGTTAAGTGAACCAATGCTTTGCTATAGGCATGGTTTTGCTGAAAACTGGAAGAGGCCCAATTACTAAATGCCCAAAGTGTAGTCATGTGACTGTGGGGGAGGGGGGAAGGGTCCAGTGGTGGGATTCATATATGTGAACAGCCAGTTTTCTGTGTGGATGCCACTTCTGGAAGTCCATTCTGGGCCTGGGCAACAAAAAATTACCTACTGGTTCTGCCGAAGTGGTGCAAACTGGCTGAATCCCACCACTGGGATGGTCAGAAGCACACCCTAGTAGGAACTTCATAGAGTTGCTAAGCATAAGTTAGTGATTAAGCATAAGGTAATTGTCGTGTCCAATCATCTGACTTCAGGGTTCACTGCTCATCTCTGTTTCTTGGCTGAGGAGCCAGCACTGTTCTAAGACATTTTCTGTGGTCATGTGGCTATTATGGCTATACACCAAAGGCACAGAATGCTGTTACCTTCCCACTGAAGTGGTACCTATTTATCTACTTGCATCTGCATGCTTCTGCTAAGTGGGCAGGAGTTGGGGCAGGTATGGGAGCAAACCCCATTGCACGGTGCTCAGAACGTGAACCCAGGTGGTCAGCTTTCCAGTTGACAAGCTCAGAGTCTTTAACCCTGTATTTAAATGTCAGTTTTTCCCTGTCTTGATTTCTTCTATTTACAGCTCATAGAAATTTTTGTAAAGATAAACAAGTTTCCCTATAATACTGTTATCATTTTACATTCTCGGGTCCTTGCAATATCATATATACCTCTGACAAGGGAGTTCAATATGGAATATCAGTGGTAACTTGTTATAATATATATAAATATACTGTACATGCAGGACAATCACATGGTACAAAAATATTGTGGATGCCAACTTGTTCTCCAGGCCTATCGAGAATGCTTGTGCTGAAGACTGCAATAACGTTTGAGAAAAATATTTTTACACTTTAAAAACAGCACCTTCAATAGGCAAAGTTACCATGAGAAAAAAGAAGCTATAGGAGTCCAGTATAGGACATGTTACTAATTGAATCATAATCTTGAATTTGTTGTATTTTTTTCTTCAAAAGTGAACAAACTGGTGGCTAGTTTAAGCATACTTTTTAAATCTTGTGAGTAGTAACTAAATTAAGTCATAATAGAGATTATATCTATATCTACTTACTAGGAAACACATGATTAATTTTTTTAAAAATAGAATCTTTTTTACTTACTCTCTGAGACTCACAGGTAGGTAGGTAGGTGGACAATCAAAGAGTAAACCAAGCTGGGTCATATTTCTATGATAGGTAGGTAGGCAGTAAGGTAGGTAGGTAGGTAGGTAGTAGATGGGCAATCAAAGAGTAAACCATGCTGGATCCTATTTCTATGATTGTTTTGGAAAATAGAATTTGGATGGGAGGTTTGAAATAACCAATGGATTAACTATGAGTGTGTGCTTGAAATCTCTCTCAGCTTTTTGGATTTGATCCTCTCCATCTTTTAAGATCCAGGTTCTTCTAGTAGCCAATATTTTATTTGATTACTTAATCTGCTGTTAAATGCAGGTTAGTCATAATCAAGCAACTACCAGTTGGGATGGGGGTGGAAGAATTGTTGAGCCTATGGTGGATGGATTAGTTGGAATTGTCTTAGTCCTGCTTTGATCAATTAGGTTTAACACCAATCTAGACTAGAGAAACATGAACGGCACAGATATTTCTTCCTAAGGAGACCTAGTCTGTTTGGTATCAGTTTCAAAATTAATATTTGAAGTGGAATTAAGGGAAAGAATAGATATACTGATGATATACTGTTCATCCCAGTGTTCAGGAGTATTTGTATTTCAGCAGGCCAACTATTCATGGTAAGGTACCACTTGGCAGAATCTTCCAATTCACATGAAAACCGTGCAACTGCTATATCTGATGTTTGATTTTTATACCTGACTCCATACAAGGATGGTCTGGAGATAGCAGAAGTACAATCCTGCTGATTCTCCCCAGATGACTCAGTAGTTTGTCATACCAACCATGGTAGAATTGTAGTGGGACCATAGACTTAAGTGGTTCTGCCCTTATTTCTAAGTATGGTTAATGAAAATGACCCTAGAGGCATTGTGTTAATTGACATGGCTTTTCAACTGTGAGATTGCCACAGGATTCTATTTTCCAGAAATGTTGTCTAAGATATATATGAAATACAGATTTGAAATGAGATATAAAGAAACATGCCGTTCAAAACAGAGATAAATCCTCTTTGCCAAAAAATATTACAACGTTATAAATCCTGAATGTTCATCAATCTAATGAATGAGTAAAATTATATTAAATTAAAGCATAGGCTAATGCATTTAAGGGAGAAATTTTAAGAGGCTACAAATAGAACAACATTTTTTATCTATTTTTTATTCTGAAATTCAACAGGCTGCAATTTCTTTCCCAAATTTTCTATAAAG